CATAGATGTTATTGGTTTCTGCAGGATTTGCCACCTGTACCTGCTAAAGGCGACGAAACTCCCGACAGCAAACCAAAGAGACCCCCTACTGACCGTCAACACGTCTGTGCTCTTAGTAATTGAGATCTCCTTCATTTTAGATTTTCTTTAAATTTAAATTAACTTGTTAAATTTTTGCTGCAGGAGGATGTTGACGCTCTCATGGAATGCGTCATGAAAGACGTGGGTTTCAGTCAAGGCAAACCAGTTGCGGCTTTTACAATGTACAAGTGTCTTCTGCACTGGAAATCCTTTGAAGCCGAACGGACTAGCATGTTTGATCGTCTCATTCAGATGATTGGTTCAGCTCTTGAGGTAATTCGGGAGTTTTGAATACCTTGATTACTTATTTATTTATTTTATTTTCTTCTTTTGGTTATGCATTAGAGATACTAATACTTTAATCTAGTCTTTGATTCATCCGTTAGACTTCATACTTTGCAGACCGGCTTGTAAAATACGACACTGCTTTTCCCTTAATGCGTTCAAGTTTTTTGCATTCTTTAAAATTGGAAAAATTTGCGAAAACACCTCTGATGAAGCCTAAATACAGAAGTAGACTAATTTTCTTTCAAGTACAAATCTGAAAAACCTCTTGGTATTACAAGTAACCTTGAGGTTTGCATTTACTAGTTCCTCGATGTCTAAGGTGCAATTTGTGAAAAGGAAACAAATGCCAAGATGAGATCATCATCACATCTTCATCATTATTTGGTTTGTGATTAGTTTCAACTTCAATGTTAATTTTGTGTGCCTATCTCTTAGAAGTATGAGAAGACAATCACCAATTAGTTTCAAATAGAATCATGAACTACAAATAAAGAATTGGAAACTAATTAAGCTATAAATTACTGCAGGACCAAGACAGCAACAATCATATGGCATATTGGTTGTCAAATACGTCCACACTTCTTTTCTTACTCCAGAAAAGCCTCAAACCTGCTGGTGCAATTCCAGCTCGTAAACCGCAAGCACCAACTTCTCTTTTTGGGAGGATGGCAATGGTATTCATTTTTTTTTGGCTTTATTATTGTGTTTTAAATTATATCTGGTTTTTTCAGAGGATGATAAAATAAATGCAATAATTAAATTATGTGCAGGGATTTAGGTCATCTCCTTCTGCTGTCAGCCATGCTGCTGCTGCTGCCGCCCTCGAGACAGTGCCTCAAGTCGAAGCTAAATATCCAGCTCTGCTTTTCAAGCAACAGCTTACGGCTTATGTAGAGAAAATATATGGCATTATTCGAGACAACCTAAAGAAAGAATTAGGATCCTTGCTTGCGTTGTGTATTCAGGTGCGTTTTTATGGCTTGCACAAATAAAATAGTGGATAGACAGCAGCTAAGTTGGAGAGTTGTACAATATAAAAAAGCTAAGAAGAAAGCAGATAAAAACATATAACAAAAGCTAGACCAAAAAAAAAAAAAAAAAAGAAAGATCAAGCTTACTACTAGTATTCCCCATATTGCTTGATGGCATTATAGTGGTTCCTTCTGAGCTTAGAAAACGACCGAAGAAAATGGCACTGAAAGTACCTAGTAACTGACATGAATAATTATATAGTAGAATGTTGTTTAACTTAGGGGTATGAAATTTCATTGATATCAAAATTGGTTACAAAAGAACTTAGATATACTATCTACTAAATACTCCATAATCTACTCTTTGTATAATGAATTAGGAATGTTACAAAAACCACCTCTAAGGTTTGGGGTATTTGCAATAGAACCTAACTAATTAAACAGTCCCATAAACCCATTCTTGAGGTCGGATTTCGTCTTACATTAGGCTCAACCCATTAATTGATCCTGATGGATTTTTTTTGACATTGTTGAGTATTTCAAAGTTACATTATGAAGTTTCCAAAATGTGACTTGTTGAATTGTTCATGGGTAGTGTTTTAGGGTTTAGGGTATTTTATGGCTACTGTCCCAAAGAACTATATCTTTTGACCTCTAGCTGAAATCCTCCTGGACTTGCAGCCTTTCCAAAACTCATGCCAGTTAGTTACTATGAGTTTTAACTATTTAATATCATTGACTTCAAATTTAACTTAGGCTCCAAGAACTTCTAAAGGAAGTGTACTAAGATCGGGTCGGTCATTTGGCAAAGACTCCGCAACAAATCATTGGCAGGCCATTATCGATTGTCTCGACTCTCTTCTTGCCACTTTGAAAGAAAATTTTGTAAGGATTTAGTTTGTCATGAATTATATTGGTTTTGAATCGTTTATGTTACTAACAAATGTCGAATTTTTCAGGTTCCCCCTGTTCTTGTGCAGAAAATATTTACTCAAACATTTTCGTATGTCAATGTACAACTCTTTAACAGGTAATGATCATTGTTATTATTTTGTATTTTTTCCAAAACTCTTTGAAATTCTTTGAAATTTACTTGATCGCTGAGATTTAACTTACTTTACCCAAATGTTTTTTTTTTTTTTTTTTTATTCTTTCAAGCCTTCTTCTACGACGTGAGTGTTGTACGTTCAGCAATGGGGAATATGTCAAAGCAGGATTGGCCGAGCTAGAATTATGGTGCTGCCAAGCAAAAGAAGAAGTAATTTCTTCTGATTAATAAATAATCCTTACCTTTTTTTTTTCTGTTTTTTTATGTCGTAACTGATTATATTTTTCACTTCTCCTGCTTTGGGTCTCAGTATGCAGGCTCAGCTTGGGACGAACTCAAACACATAAGACAGGCTGTTGGGTTCATGGTAAGTTTCATTTTCATGCATATTTTTATTCGTTTATTTATATGCGATTCTTGCAATGTAGTAATTCAGTTTACATCATCCTGCAGGTTATACATCAGAAGTACAGAATATCATACGACGAGATCACCAATGATTTATGCCCAGTAAGCCAATTTATTAAATCCCCAAAGAAAATATTAGGGATAATTCCAACAAAATACGTTTTAGAAAATACTGGGAGCTATTATCCTGTGGTGATATAATTTTGATACGATTTCAAAAAAAAAATTAACCTTATTAATCGATTTTGTCTGTCTTTCCAGATTCTGAGCGTGCAGCAGTTGTACAGAATATGTACTTTATACTGGGATGATAAATATAACACGAGAAGTGTATCACCTGAAGTAAGTACTTCTGGCAATAAACTTGTTCTTCGGCCACACGTTCTCCGGTAGAGGTTATAATAATGATGTGCTAACTCTAATGACAGGTTATATCCAGTATGAGGGTCC